GACACCATTGGCCTTCTTGGCAACAAGGGCACGCTGCTGGCTCATGGTTAACCTGTCGTCCACCAGGACACCCAGGTCCGTCTCCACAGACCTGCTTTCCAGCAAGTCAGCCCCAAGACTGTACAGGTGCAATGGGTTACTCCTCCCCAGGTGCAGGACCTTGCACTTGCCCTTGTTGAACTTCATCAGGTTCCTCTCTGCCCAGCTCTCCAGCCTGTCCAGGTCTTGCTGCATGGTAGTTCAGCCTTCCGGTGTATCCACCTGCTCAAAGCAGCTTCAGCTATAACAGCTCAGGGTTGTAGCCACTTGGGTTTTGAATATCTCTGAGGACAGAGACTCCCCAGCCTCTCTGGGTAGCACGTTTGAGTGTTTGACCACTCTTCCCCAGTCCAGAGGCTTTACAGGACTCAAATGTTTTCATTTCTCTGTTGTTGATTATCTGATATAGAAGATGCATATGTGTTGAATAATAACCTTTCTTCAGTAGACCAAAAAATTCTTTTTACAAGGCCTGGCAACCTGTTGGTGCCTTAATGAGTGAAGTATCCATAAATAATTGAGCTTTCTCAGCTGAAGCAGGGCGACCCTTGGCCTCAGTATTATTCGTCTTATTTAATAAGGGATGTTCTGGTGGTACATTCAGGATCAAGAAGAGTTTTGTTAATGCTGGAGGACAGTACTGGTATCGTAGCCAATTAATGTGCCTGTTCCTACTAATGATAAATGGGTCTGCCATCAATTCATTTGGCGTTGTGCCACCAGCCTTACAGAATCGTTTGTGGATATACCCAAGGGTTTTGACAGCTAACATTTCAGCTTTTACAGGTCATCAGAATTCTTCAGGAAAGATGGATTTCATAAATGGTAGCCTGTAGCAGAAAACTGGAGGAGAAACATAAAAAAGTATTTAGGTGATGTTAAGCTCTGTGAAATGGGCCAAAACCTGTCTGACGAAGAATCTTTTCAGTTTTATTTCAACTAAAGTTCAGGGAGAGGAGAAAAGTAAATGCGTCTAAGGAACACTGGTGGATCCAGGCTAGTTTAGCCTTCATGGGTTAATAACTCATTGGAAACTGATGTTTTCAATGGTTCTGAAATTGCAGGAAGTGGTCTGAGGTCGAGAGGGAAAAATTACTCAAGGAGACATAATTTCTAGGGAGGAACTGAGGTCCTGCAGTTCTGCTTTGGAGGAAACACAAGCCACAGAATGAAATTCCCCACAGTTTCAAGGTTAGCAGAGAGGCTGGTGGCTGGAGGAGGAAAGAAGAAAATATGAAACTGTTTCTGTGTATGTCTGTGTGCGTGCAATGTTGTGCCACATAGCTAAAGCCTTTTGTCCTTTAGCCAGAAATCTGACCTGAAAACTCCTTTTGCAAGGTCTTGCAAGATGCATAGCAGCTCTCCCATTCAGGATAGTTCATGTTAAATAAGAACTTCATGTTAATTCAATATGGAAACATTGTAATCTGGGATTTGAATTGTTTTAATGGTTACCTTCCTCATTTAGATAACGGACAGGCAGAAGAGGGAGGTAGGGAGAGGCCCTGCTCGTCTTGACATTCCAGCAGACGAGAAGACAGTGATGGCCATGTCCAGCTTGCACCACTCTCATTGCTGCTTCTTATGGTTTTCTATAAATATACCCACATCTGTGAATTATGGGCCAGCTGTTCACAAAGACCAAAGCATACCATTGCAAATCAACCCCACCAAAATGGCAGAGGCACACAAGTTACCTCTAGCCTAAATTTAATCAGCAAATCTCCCTGGAGTCAGTGGGGAGAGGCACCTCTGGAGGGCAATTCAAAGCAGGAATCTGACTGCAAGGGCAGCATTAACCTTTGACTGTTCTCCCTTTGCCGAGAGTCAATGGGATCAATTTGTAGCTGAGCGGAGAAGACTTACGCTGGCTAAGAAGCGGTTCCAGTATCAATAAAGCTACCACAGCTTGCTCTCTGTATCACAGAACTGCCATATGTCTCCACTTACAGGGAATGGGCATGAGTGGGGGCTGTGGAGGGAATTGCTTTCCTAGGCAGGTTGATGTAATAAAAAATGAGCAGCTCTGCAGCCCTTAATCTCTCTAATGCCCGTAGTCTCAGGCCTCCTATGCTTCAGTCTGTGCTATGCTTCATTATGGAGTCTTTAAACACCTAAGCTAAAGATAGAGAAAGTAATTTCAAAAGAAAACACAACTTTGGCTCCATATAGATGGATTTTTGGAGAAGAAGTAAGGTTCCTCTTGGGTTAAACTTCTTAGATTTTTGTGATTTTGTTTATATAGTATTATTAAGTCCAAGTGCTATGGAGTAAATACACAAAATTAATACCTACTCTAGAACATTTAATAACTCAAGATAAATTAAGGTATTTAGAACTGTGAATTTTAAACATTGCAACATTTTTGTTCTGTTTTATTTTTCTTCCAAATTTAGAACACCTATTTCCAAATTAGTAACAGAATCTGACAGTTCTGATCTTATATTTTATAATAATCTTACTCACAGTACTGCAGGAGCTACAGCTTCAAGAAGAAAACGTAAATGAATGTTTGGAATATATAAAAATACTTTCATTTAATACATTGGAGTTTGGGGAGTTTTGTGTTTTAATATTTTTTTCGTCATCAAGAGGTATCCAATACCAATTTTCTTTGTTTTAATTATGTCTGCAATGTACTACTCATTGTAAACAAAATAAGTAGTTAGCTAATATGCAGATTTTAGCTCAGGGATTTGAAGCAGTCTAATGGGCTAGGACACATATTCTATATTTCCATCCATTTACTCACAGAAGTTTGTCAGAACTCACCAGATGATAACTTTGACTAATCCCAACTTTTCTTTATATTGTGATTTTGCTTTTCCTTATTGAATTAATATTATAAATACATTAATGGAGCTGTTGGTGGAGAGAAGATACACTGTTTCAGTTCCTTCACCGTTGTGAATCAGCATAGTGCCACTTACATCAACAAAGCTACTATTTACCCCAGCTGAATATCTCCTCCTTCTGTTCTAATATTAACACAGTTAAAAATAGGAGATTTATATTTAAACCTCTGCTTCCTGAAGTGACGGTAGGTGGGCCGACTTGTAACATGATCAACATTTACAGCATTATCTCTACTGGAATCTATTTATGTCAGCTCCTAACAATCAAAACATAATGGCTCTTTGGAATTGCCATTGCTTTAATTTTTACAAAATAGCAAGAATATTAATTAAAAAAAAATAAAGAGCGCCCTGATACAGCATTCATGCATGTGCATAAACAGCATGCAACATCAAAGTGTTGGCAGCCTATTCCCTGAAACAGTGCTTATGGAAAGGAGTGGTGTGCCGGCGTTGTATATGGGGAATAGTAATAGTGAGGCAGGGGGATCTTAGAGCCCTACTGTCAATGCATAACTTGTGATTTAGTGCATGATCTAGTTTTATGATAAACTTAAAGCTATCTGAGATGTCCAGAGCTATTTGAGATGTCCAAACTTCTTTGAAAGACTGCCAGAGAAGGTGCAGGAACTGCGGAAACCCATGTCTTTCTGGATGGCAGCTGAAGGACAGTCAGGATAACTAGGGCATCTCAAGTGGTACTGGACAGTTCTGTGTGGACAGCTGCACTGGGTTGTGTCTTACATCTGCAGTCACAATTTTTTAAGTTATTTTTTTGATAACACTGAGGGGCATGCTAATTGTGACCTATCAGAGGATACTGGCCTTTAGCAGGGTCATATACTGGCTCTTTTTCACTGCAGTGCCATGTGTTACACCTGTGAATGCTGCCACTAAATTAAGTGACATTACTCAAACGTGCCTCATAATAAACTTATGTATAGATTAAGGTGTCTACAAAACTGAGAGTTATTTTCAAACCCCCATTAAATACTGAGCTGCTAAAAAATGCTCAGGATATTACCAAATTACACATTCAAAATTGTCATAACAATATGGACCATGGGACTGAGACAGTAATTTTTTGATGTATGTTGAAATAATTGCTCTTATTCAGGTGTCAGACACAGGGGTTTCTCTCCTCTAATTTCTTAAAAAAGGACAGCATAACTGTGAAAAAACTACAATATTTCAGTGATGTCTTAAGAAAATATGCTTCATTACCAGCATTAAGCATGAAATAATAAAACCAGTTGTTGTTAAAAGGTTTGTCCTGTGGAAAGCATATTTTCTCTTTCTCCACACTTAAATATGTGTGCATACTTACTTAGGTCCAATTACATTTCACTCAGCTTGAAGCACTTCACATTTGGTGTACAGGTGCTCCTTATCTAGCCTATGAGACCACATCTAAACCGCAAAGCCACCCACGGATGGCAGCACGCCCTGTATATCTTGGGTAGGAATGAGCCTGGAACGTGCCATAACTCGGTTCTCGTTGCCCAAGTTCCTGAGGAAATCCAAGCATGGGAATGCTGCTTGGGCATGGCTGTCCTGTAGATATGAAGGTAGATTTCCATTTCTCTATATCAATACAGACAGAAAGACAAATACCACCTGCTGTCTGATGAGATGGTAACCTGGGGAGAACATGCTTCTGATGTAGGTACTTTCGTTAGGTGTTCACAGAGAGGGGGAATCTGGGTCTCTGATCTTATGAAGGATGATACATGGACAATCCTGACAGCTGCCATGCAAAGAGCATTTATAAATCCATGCCAGTCTTTTCTGACACCCAACACCTGGCTCCTTTTCTGTAGTGAGAATGGCTGGACCATTGCAGTGGCGCACTGATTTTTGTGGATGGTGAACACAAAAAGGGGATTGAGAAGAGACCACCCAAGTTATTCTGACACATGACTTGAGTGCTTTCTATTCTTAGACAAATGAGGATCTGAAATATGTAAGTACACTATCATTGTTTTTTCATATTTATTTGTAAAAATGGAAGAAAAGTATAAAAGTCTTAATCTATCATGGGTATGGGATTAATACATTTATCATTTTCTTTCGATGTGTGTTTATACTGAAGTGGAGTCGATAAATCAAGATGTTTCTTGTGATATTTTAAAGTATCATTATTTGTCTCTTGATTCCATCCTTTTTATTTAAAGAAATGAAAAGAGCAAAAACCATGAAATTATATTTACAGTGTAATTTTAAATTTATTGTCTAATAAATAGTGATCATTTAGAAAATCCATTTTTTTTTCTGTACTGCTAACAAGAGATTTAACCAAAGTGATTGAATCAAGATAAGAAATGATCCCAGGCTCTTGAAGCTTGAATAAACGGCATTGTCAATGACAATGTGCTGTTCTGGAAGTTCATATGAAGTATAAGAAATAACCTAAATGTAATTTCATGGCAGCTCATATATGACTTAGCTTAATTTATTCTTGACTACAGAGCTTCCATTCTCTGTGTTTCACCAGCATTTACATGTCACCAAATACCCACCAACACTTACCTTTTTACTATTCCACACTCCCAGTACAAGCAAAGATAACACTTCTTTTTCCCCAACAAACAAACTGTACATTGATTTCCAAACTGACAATTTTATCCTGACTTCCACCAACACTGTTGCTGAATGAGCATAACCACCTCTGATTTACAATATCATGTGGATCTACTACTTCCGACTCATCTAATGATGCTGCCTAAGATGCCTTTTGAAACTGCATTATCCCCCATAAAAAGATTATTTGTATTTAACAAACAACGAATAGAACTTGCCAGCCACAGTATACTGTGACTCAGTTTTGCAAATGAGTGCAGATCCCAAGATATTTCAAAAAGGACAGAAGAAAATCAACAGAAATTGAAAAGTTCTTAAACTGTTACATAACCAAGGCTTTAACTAGCTATAGATAAAGATTTAGAAATGCAATTAAGTTTCTTTCTACACCTTCAGGTAAGGAACTGTATACTTCTAAGTACAGCAACAAATCAACAAGAGCCATAATGACCTGATTTTTAAGGACGAGGCTGAGTCTGTGATATTTCTGCTTTTGAAATCCAGCACAGGAGAAGGTCTTTATTCAGACAGGATTCAAAGTATGGCTTTGTATTTCAAGGATGTACTGATTCCCCTTTGGTTCTAAACAATAAGCATATTCTTGTATTCTTCCTTCAGTCCAGGTTATAATTATGTATTTCAGATGATAGTGTTCATATAGTAATGAGACTAGCCTAAATGCTTACAGCTTTGGGCAAGTTCTTGAAAATACATGTTGTAACAGAGACGGGCAGATTGTTCTTGGTATGTCTTTATTAAAATAAATGTGTCTTAAGGAATGTTTAGTTTTCTGACTGTAGCTGACTGATTTGGTAGAGACTGGTATAGTAATAATGTCATTATATCAAGCCTCTTTTCTTTTTGTTTTGGGGATTCCCAGAGATATTTCAATGAAAGAAACTATAGTCTAGGCATCTCCACTGGGTTAGAGGAAGAAAAGATTTTTCAAGGAAAATGAAAAGTGTGGAGAGGCAATAGTGGAACACTCAGATTTCCTTTCAGAAAAGAAAAGAAATGAAAAGCCTCTGAGTGGTAAAGTGGAGCAGCTGGATATTTTCTCAGACATGCAGATATGCAAAGGACATTGATGACACCATGAAATATCTGTGCATCTCCAGATAGGAGCTTTTGTATCATAATTTGTTCAACATCTATTTAAATTTCTCATTCCTGGAAGTAAAAGCCTTCATAAGTGTCAGGACTTTCTTAAAAAGAGGAAGAAATACTCAATTGCAACAAATTGTACTTTTTAAGAGATGTATCAACCTAACCTAGACTTTTTGACAGCTATGGAAACAAGCCAAGATTATATTAAAAATTGGGATTGTGCTGGGGTTAACCATTCCCTGCCAGATGTATTGCATATACCCTGCTGTGTGCATGGATATTTACGGATATGTCTACACAAAATATCCAGTCAAGGAAAAAAAAATATATTTATAGGAAGGTGTGCTAATATCTGCATGTCCATGGCTAAAACATTCAGTGTTAATACATTGTCCTAGCAAATGAAAGTGAAGGACATAAATGAAGGGTTATTCCCATAGTGATTCAGTCATTCAAAGACATTAACCAGTACTATGAATCTGCTGGAAAAGGTTGGATGAGGGATCCATTTATCCTGCTTCCCCATGGTTACGATCTGGTAGTAATTCACATCCACCATTACCTGCACGGGGAACCCTAACAACTGGGGAGGATTTGAGTTACCTGACACATGCGTCTCCCCACACGTCACCAGGATTGGGATTTATTTTTTAAATAGGTGTTGGTTTATAATGCTGCAGAAATGTAAAAGAGTAAGAAATGGAACTTCTCAGTTCTGGCCAGTTTTGAGTTGCTGCAGAAACGCTGCCACATAAGGATCTCCTCTGCAGTACTCAGATACCAGTGTGATTAGCCTGGTAGATAGAGCTCTGTGTTGGGGAAGCAAGGTCAGTGCTCCTGGGACAACAGGAGACATAAAGATTCAATAATAATATCTCATTATTCTATCAAATGATGTCTGCAGAACACTTTAAAATCATTATGTGAAGGACAAAGGATGCTACATATGTAGAGGGGTAAAGGCTGACATTTCTACAGTGCATTTAATTAACAGAATTCCATGCAAGCCTGGCCTTTGGAAGAAAAATAATCTTTGGTTGCACATTGGGCACGCTGAGCTTCCATAATAAACACACAGGGAACTCCTATAGGGCATCTACTGAATCAAGGCTATTGTTTTGCTGGTGCCATGTCCTCAAAGACCGCAAGGTTGAAAGACCTTCTATAACAGTGAAACCTATTTTGCTTACTACAAGTAGGGGGCTGATGGAGACAAGAAACAGCAGCAATAACTGATAATTTTTATTAACAGTGCTTCTCAAGCTGTTGCAGCTCTTGGCATAGCTGAATTTCAGTAAGGAGAGAAAATGTCTGAACAGGAATATTTTCCCTGAGCCAGTACAAGCAATGCTGATAGGAAGTGGTGTTGTTCATTTTGTTAAGGAGCAGTCAGATAAGCATTAGTTAGCACATTTTTATTGGTTCCTACCAAAAAATTGACAGTTTCTTCTGCTGACAGTTGCCATCCCCTACCCTGAGACATGGTGCTTCAAAGTACCCAGACTGTCAGACTAATATGCTGCAAAAAAAAGCCACTTGCGCTGCATGGCAGGGTTCACCACTATTGCTACGAAAAAGAGACACAGGCAATGACCAGAAATGATATTGGGCCATGCCCTTAGCTCACACATTGTATCCCACGTGGTTTGTTCCCTCTACAAACACATTTCAGTTTTGGATCCTGCTCTGCAGCAAAAAATTAAGGGAAGTGATGTGTCCTGTGGAGACCACAGGGCTGAGATGTGGTAATCTTACACCTACTTTGTATTTACAAGGGTTTGTTCGGTTATATCGGTCTATCTTGCCCATTTATACAATCAAATTAATGAGATGATTGACAGATATTCATAAAGGACAGTGAGATAAATAGAATAAAAATACTCATTAGTAGATGCATGTTTTTACTACCCTTTTTTTTCCCTTCATGATACACTTGGTGACTCAAAAGGAGTACAGGGGTCTCATTACGTCATGCAGAAGGGAAATTAGAAAGGCAAAAGTCCAGCTAGAACTCAGCCTGGCCAGAAGGGACAACAAAAATATGTTTTCACAAATACGTCAACAACAAAAAGAGGGCCAAGGAGAATCTCTGTCCCTTATTGGATGCAATGGGGAATATTGCCAACAAGGATGAGGAGAAGGCTGAGGTACTTAATGCCTTCTTTGCCTCAGTCTTTAATAGTCAGACTAGTTATTCCCAGGGTAGTCAGCCCCCAGTGCTGGAAGATAGGGAAGGAGAGCAGAATAAACCTCCCATAATCCAGGAGGAAGGAGTTAATGACCTGCTATGCCACCTGGACACTTACAAGTCTATGGGGCCAGATGGGATCCACCCAGGAGTGCTGCAGGGACTGACAGAGGAGCCGGTCAAGCCACTCTCCATCATTTATCAACAGTCCTGGCTAACAGGGGAGGTCCCAGATGACTGGAGGATTGCCATTGTAACAGGCATCTACAAGCAGGACCAGAAGGAGGATCCTGGGAACTATAGGCCTGTCAGCCTGACCTCAGTGCCGGGCAAGATTATGGAGCGATTTATCCTGAGCGAGCTCACCAGGCATGTGAAGGACAACCAGTGGATCAGGCCCAGCCAGCATGGATTCATGAAAGGCAGGTCCCTGCTTGACCAACCTGATCTTCTACAACTAGGTGACCCACCTAGTGGATGAGGGAAATGTTGTGGATCTTATCTATCTGGACTTTAGTAAGGCCTTTGACACTGTTTCCCACAGCAACCTCCTGGAGAAACTAGCTGCCCATGGTTTGCATGGATGTACTCTTCTCTGGATAAAGAACTGGCTGAATGGCTGAGTGCAGATAGTGGTAGTGAATGGAGTTAAATCCAGCTGATGGCCAGTCATGAGTGGTGTTCCCCAGGGCTCAGTTTTGGGTCCGGTCATGTTTAACACCTGGATGAGGGGAATGATTGCTCACTCGGTAAGTTTACAGATGACACCAAGTTGGGCATGAGTGTCGATCTGCTTGAGGGTAGGAAGGTCCTGCAGAGGGATCTGGACTGGCTGGATAGATGGGCCAAGGCCAACTGTACGAGGTTCAACAAGGCCAAATGCCAGGTCCTGCACTTTGGTCACAACAACTGCATGCAACACTACAGGCTTGGGGAGGAGTGGCTGGAAAGCTGCCTGGCTGCAAAGGACCTTGGGATGTTGGTCGACAGCCAGCTGAACATAAGCCAGCAGTGTGCCCCAGTGGCCAAGCAGGTCAACGGCATCCTGGTTTGTATCAGGAACAGTGTGGCCAGCAGGAGCAGGCAGGTGATCGTGCCCCTGTACTTGGCACTGGTGAGGCTGCACCTCGAGTACTGCGTTCAATTTTGGGCCGCTCACTAGAAGAAGGACATTGAGTTGCTGGAGCATGTCCAGAGAAGGGCAATGAAGCTGGTGAAGATTCTAGAGAACAAGTCTTACAAGTAGCGACTGAGGGAACTCGGGCTGTTTAGTGTGGAGAAGAGGAGGCTGAGGGTAGACCTTATTGCTCTCTATGACTAGAAAGGAGGTTGTAGTGAGGCGGGTGTTGGTCAGTTCTCCTAGGTAACTAGCCACAGAATGTGAGGCAATGGCCTCAAGTTGCGTCAGGGGAGGTTTAGATTGGATATTAGGAAAAGTTTCTTTACTGCAAGAGTGGTCAGACACTGGAAGAGGGTACCGAGGGAAGTGGTTGAGTCACCATCCCTGAAGGTGTTTACAAAAATGTGTAGATGTGGCATTTCGGTTGGACTTGATGATCTTAGAGATCTTTTCCAACCTATGATTCTATGATTCTTTCCAGAAAATGGATCTGTGATGGAAACAGGTGATATATTCAGAACCTTGCAGCCTCCACTATATAAATTGATTTCCAGCACTCTGTTCTGTAGTTGAAAATAGTAAAGTACACTACCTGTTTCATTAGACATGGATCATTTATATAGTGCATGGCTGACATCGCTGCACGATAATTTATCACAAGGATTTGTGAATGGCATAGAATGCCACAGAACTGAAAAAGAAAACTGGTTCTGTTTTTACAGGTGAGGCAAGAAAAAACGTTGTTGCTGATATGCATAGTAATTCTTTTCCTCAGATATAAATCTATCGGGATAACTACATTCTGTGGAGTGAGGCATAGAGCTCTCCTACAAACCAAAAATGACTTTAGAAATTGAATATTTATAATGGAATGAACAAGACTGCCACTGTGGTAACTTCAGGTTTAAAGTCACTATCTTTGCCAGTCTATGAGAGTATAAATTGTGTAATGCATGCAAGGTGGTTAAAAGATAAATACTGCCGAACAAATTTTTTTGAACTTTTTCAACAGGAAGGTGATCAGATTTCAACAGGTTGTCCAAGGAAGTTGTGTAGTCTCCATACTTAGTGACTTTGAAATAGTGGAAAAAGTTCTTGAGCCACCTAATCTAACTGGATCCACTTTGGAGACAGAGGTTTGACTACAGATCTCCAGAGTTCCTGGTCAAATGTGAATTGTTTTGTGATTCTGGGAGGGTAGACCATCAAAGAAGAAAGTTCAAAGAAACATCTGGAAAGCCCATCTTTGTCATTATCCAAAGGCATCTCCATGGTGAAATGGGGTATCTTAGTGGGGCAAGGAATTTTTCTGTTTATCTGCTCAGAGGGAAGCACAAGTCCACCTTCTTTGACAGCTCTCGGAAACAGTATGAAGAGAGGTTGGCTGAATTTGCTGACACACACCTTCAGCTTCAGCTAAATGTTAGCTAACTTTCCTCTCTTCTTGTCATCACTTTTATAGTGGGGATTTAGCCCTGACTATTCTGCACTAGATATCCCCATGCAAAGAGGTGGGATGAGATTCCTGGCTGGAGGTTTTTCCATCCTTTTAAGTTCCCTTCATATGTAATGCCATTGCAGGTGCTATACATCAACAGTAAAGTGAACTGTTATCAGCCACTTCAGAATATACCTGCTAAGGAGGAGGTTAATCCTTCTGGGTCCTCAACTTAGGTTACTCATAACAGCAATATAATGGATACCATAGCCAAATCCAAAATGCCTGAAGGGTCAAGATACGGGCCAAGTGGCTTCTGCAGTTCTTGAATTTTCCTGCTCAAAGTGCAGTGTGATTTGCTTCAACCCGCAGCCAGATTGCCAGACAACAGATAGGCTATAAGGACAACTTTGACATGCTTGTTGGGATTCTCCTACCATCTGCTCCCACCTTTCGCATCTTCACTCAGTCCCATTCCTTTACTCTTGCTTGCTTCTCCTACCTGTGGCATGAATGGGGAAAGCAAATTTTTCTATTCATGTCCTTCTTTCTGTACTACAAGAAGGCAGGATTTTAGGTGGGAAATAAACAGTGAGTGTAGCATGGTTACCATTTGAGAAGAAGGCTCCATAACATCCATTCTACCTATCCTGACCTCACAGGTAACTCTGCATTGAGCCAGAATAGTAATCTCAGGCTCTTGAACCCTCACAACAGTAAGATTCTTATATTGTATTTTCTCCTCAGATTTTATTGAGGTTAGATTGAAGTAGACAGACTGGCCTTCTCTTCGCCACTGCCCTGAAGAGAACTGCACACTGTGTTGTCCTCTCTATATCTACATCTGTGCCGTTTTTGATGACTTCAACTACTGTGGCCGTGTGAGATGCTCCTTGAAAAGTTTTCTTCTGCCCTTCCAAACCCATGCTCAGTGCATGAGTTCCAGGTTACCATATTTTACAAAAATATCCACAGACCTGGAGTGAAGGGTGTTTGTGGCAAAGGATTGTCTGAGGCACAATCTTCTGCTGTGTCAACTTCCATTGCACTTTGATGTGCTCCTGCTGATAGGAGTGATCTGAAGTTTCATGCCAGTAGAAATAGTTAAGGAAGTTTCCACAATGAGAAGGCTCACTGTGGAGCTTGAAAAATAGATTTTTTTAAGCAATTTTCTGAGCGCTCTTTTTCTCCACCTGTGTGGCCTAGATAGCACAATCCTCAGTGTATCAGCAGATAAAACAATTATGTATTTTAAGCTGGTCCTTAAAAATGCACCAAGCCCAGTACAAATACCTTGACTCTTTGCATAAAATAAGCATGCAAGACCTTTCCACCTGCCTCCTATCTTCCCATTGCAGATAGGGCAAGAGTGAAAGAGGCCTCCTGCCATGAGAAGGTGAACTCTGAAAATGGTACATGATCTGCAGGACAGAAGCAGTTAAATCCTCTGAATGCGTTCTTTTCAATAGAGAGGGCTTTTGAAAACAGAATTTAATGAAATCCAGTGTCCTTTTCATAAAATATTTGAAGGAAGTCTTGTTCGATAGCACTTGTCAATCAATCCTTTGCTATTGTTACTTGTTTTTTTCCTTTTTTCTCTCCCTTTATTTTAATTGGCATCTGTCTGGAAGGACACAGGCAAATCCCAAGATGGTACCTTAACTAGGAACCATTCACTTTCAATACATAAATTTCTCTGCTGTTAAAGATAAATAAATTGCAAAGTTTATATTAATATGCACAAGGGCTAAAGCATGAG